CCAGATGGGAGTGCGCCGTCAGCTTCACGCTCCGCCTTCTTCATCCACGTGGATAGGCGTCAGAATACCATTTCTGGTTGCTCAGCTGGCCAGGGGAAGTGTATCGACAAGGGATCGAACGCGTCTCCTACCAGAATAGATGCACTTCGTTTCGTAACGAGGATATAAAATATATCACGCATGTCAAGGTAATTTTATGTGGTGTCTGTTTTGCGTAATAAATAATTAGCAGCTTTTGTGTTGATTTCTTTGTGTATTTGCTTACATTTATATTGGAATGTTGTAATAGAGGATTTCAGATGACGTTATTTCTTACCAAGGTGATGGCACATTTTCGTTTCGAATTAAGGCGTCGGAACAACTGAATGTCTGGGCCTCGGCTGGCTTCTTGCGGTGTTTAAGTGTTAACTGGATTGTTGATGTTATGTTCTGTCGTTTGTCGTCGTCCTTTTACATGGTGGAGGGGAAATACGACAGTGAGCTGCCGATAGAAGGAGGTTTGAGCACGTGTTTCTGTCTGTGACCGCTAGATGGTGCAGGCAGCTACCTTCTGGAAATACATTTATAATTTTTATAACGTGGGTTGATTTTCCGTTCTCATTTTGAGAGTAGAAGGTTGTTGGGTCAGGTTTGGGTGGATTTGTAAGCGTGAGACTACGGACCGAGGTGTGAAAGGTGTCCAGTCCATCTTCAGAGCTGTCCTGAAGAATGGCGTTCGGGAAAACTGGACACATTTCTTCCCGTTACTTTCGAGAATGTGTTACTGTGTTCCTCCAGTTGAGATGCAATGATACTTTTGGATAAGCGTCTTTCTCTCTCTTAGTTAAAAAATACATTTAAATATGTCTGAACGAACCACTAGGAAAAATACCTGAGCTTCGAAGAGCTTCTTGGTCTTTATTAATACAAATATAGGTCTCTTAATTCCGTGGCTGAAAACGTCAAAATTAATCTTAAATTTTGGAAGAGGGACCTGAACACATCTTGGCACATTTTTGTTAGAGGCCCACGAATGAATGACACACGCACACACCAGATTTATGCAGACAATGCAAGTAATGAAATGTAGGAGGCCAATATAAGCTGGACAAGTTTTTAGCATGGCTTGGGGAAACAAGAAATACATGCTCAGTTTTGTTCGGCAAATGTATTTGGAAACTGAGGTGTCGGGTAGATAACATTCAGATGACAGGGAAACTGGAACTACCGATGTCAGCAGTAAGCACATCAGAAACATTGGCAATTTTCTGTTACTCGGCTTCTGGCCACACGGCTATGATCTGCTGCTGCAGCATCTTTATGAAGCTCAAGGTCACATTCACAGTCGGAGGATATTAAGTTTTTTGAAACAATCTCCAAAGTAAGCTCCTCTTTAATTTATTTTTATACAAAATTTGCGCCATTACAATGAGAAGAAAACTGTATTCTCTTGAGAACGGTGTACCACTCTTAAACCGTAAATCTGCAAGAAAGTTTCTAAACCCCACCCTCCCCTTCACATACAAACATACAAGAGGTATGTTATTTATTTTTGTACTTCTTTAGTATTCCATCTGACTCACGTCTGGAAACTCCTATCTCAGAGAGCTGACAAAACTGTGCGTTTATGGGAATGACATAACCTCACAAATGGATCTGGACCGTCTGCCAGTAAGAGTTTTCCTCCTATCATAAGTGTTACATCCAAGTTAGAGCAGAAAAGCACAACAGCAATTCAATTAGAGCAGTGGGCAAAATTCCAGTGCCATAATTGCTTACAAACTGGTTCAAAATGAGAAGATATTTTAGCAGCATCCTCGTACGTTGCACGTCAAAATCGACAAGCTGTTAAACAGTTTAGAAAAAGGCCAATAAAGTTTAAATATACCTAGCCAGTAATCCATGTCCAACATAATTGTTCTCTGCATAAAAAAATAAAATACATTTAACATATTCAAGCAATACAATATATAAGTACCTCAAAGTACTTTTGCATTAAATCTGTCTCCCTGGCTGCCAGCTGACTCTACAAAATGCAGTCTATTTTTTATTTTATCCTCATTACTTCAAACTATTCTCGTCAAGTCACACCAAAAATCTGTTACATTGTCACGACCCTCACACGGTAGCCATACGCAGAATAACAGCGAAGGGGGTCACCAAGACCGCCAGCATAGCCTCATGCCTGCAAGCTGCTGATGGCTGTTCTGTGGTGTGCCCTGTCTGCTTCTTATCAACCTCCTCCTCCTCCTGTTTCTCCTTCAGTGTCTCGGTGATTGTCCTGCTAATTGTCCTCATGAGCGGATAGTTACTGGAGCCACCACCACTGTTGTTGATGCAATCTCCATGGAAGTCATCAGTGTCAACTGACCAGACCATTGTACCGGCTAAGTCGAGTTTTATGGCAAACTTGACCTGAAAGAAACAGGAATGAAGTGTCAAAAACCTTACTGTAACTCATCATGAGCCGGAATAGCTCAGTAAAATATTTTGCAACAGGCTGGATGACTAAGATTTAATTCCTGGCAGGAACAGGGATTTTCCTATCTGTTCAGAAGAGTTTTGAAGCCTCCAACCCAGCCTACCCTATATTACCCTTTTGAAAGCTGCATCAAGAAAATTATTAACACAATTTCAACAGAAGTCCCGCCTGTAGAAACGATTCATTTTAGACCTGAGTACTGCCTCACAAGTCCACCATGAGAACATTTACCTTCTCTGCGATACTGCGCTCGTCGTCGTACGTGATCACTTTGTTGCCCTGCACTGCATATGGCGTCATGGAGTTGTCATCCCAGAATGTCTTCCAACCGTTCGATATATTGACACATATCTGGGAACAAACGGATGGATTACGCAGGAATTATCTAAAAATCCTATTTATTCAAAATAACGAAAGTATTGATGTAGTTGGTCAGACCTCTTTTAAGCTCAATGGTTGTAGCAGCGTCAGGCATCTGCAGTGTGAACCCAGAATCGAACTGCCTTATCCTGGGCAATATGCTTTAAGAGACTAGATAAAGATTAAGTATGTAAGACTTGAGGTTCTCACAGCGGTGAATATGAAGATTTCTGTCTTCTGGGTTATTGCGCTGTGTAGTCTGGTCGATGTTAACCAACGTTTCAGAGGTCATACTGCCTCCGTCATCAGGGCCTGATGACGGAGGCAGTATGACCTCTGAAACGTTGGTTAACATCGACCAGACTACACAGCGCAATAACCCAGAAGACAGAAATCTTCAAAGATTAAGTAGTAAATAAATGCATTGAAATTCCTTCTGGAGTTGTACTCTGTCGTCAGAGCACTTTGACCCCTCTCTTTGTAACTGCTGACTGTGTTAGATACCTCATTATATCCCATAAATCCATCCTCCTTGGTGTAAGGTCCAGGGAAACCTTTAGGACTTGCAGGTACATTAACCAGTTTCCGGGCCGGGGCTCCCTGCTTCAGCAAGTACTTGATTGCATATTCCTGTCAACATTAATGCTTGACGCTAATTGTATGCTATTATTAAACCTAGGACTTCTTCTTCTTCTATGGCTCTCCGGTCCGTATTCGGTCGATGGCCTCCTCAATTCTCCTCTTCCATTCGGTCCTCTATCGGAGGCTTTGATTGAGGTTTCGAAACATCTTCCTTTTTATGTGCATGGTTGTTAGCCTTGCGACCAACCCCCAACCTGGAGGACCAGGGTACCTGTCTTAGTCTGATCTCTCCCCCTCGACCAATCTGGCTAGGGAGGCCCTACCAGTAGCTATGCTATCGCCAACCATAGCTCTTGAGACTCTAGGCATACTGTGAAATATGTGCAGTCTAGCTAAATATATATATGACAGACATCTTTAGAAAGAAACGTGTACATACGCTCCATATTTAGTTTTATTTATATTTACAAACTTCAAAATCAAGTTAAGTGATGTGTATAGTCTAAAGCAAAGGCAGTCCACAGGAATGTGTAGAAAATGCATTTGGAGGGAACTTACCACGGTGAGCGTGTCATCTGGCTGTGTGGATTTCAGGGGTGCATTGGCCCCCACGCGTTTGTCCCAGGAGCCATGAAGGTCATAACACATGGCATGAATATAATCCAGGTACCGGCTAAGCGCCGGTATGTTGTACGCTGCGTCGACCGTGTCTTGTCCCACACCCAGTGCCGCAGTCAGTAGCCAGCCATGTTTGTCAAACTCCTCACGCAACTCCTGCAACACATATTATAATGCAGCAGCCCGTCCATAAGCCACGGAAATTGCGATGAGATCCAATTAAAAAGAAAGCTAGTTCTCAGACTGGAGTTAACTATATTGACTAATGTTCTTCTGGTTCTCAGTTCATTCAGACAAATTCTGAGACGGTACCTTCAATTAGTCCGCGATCACTTCCTTCCCTATCATTTTCAATTCATTACTCATGAATAATCGTATTATTTGATGATTCGGCAATTAGTATTATATTTCATTCTCTCTCCTTGCATCGCTGATAACTTTTACTTCGTCATGCTCACCTTTACAAGGTGTACAAAGTTCTCCTTGTCTCCAGGGGCCCCACCCCTCTTTGCTGGGTACTCCCAGTCCAAGTCCAGGCCATCAAAACCATATTTTCTGCAACATTCAACACAACCTGTGAAAAGCGTAACAACGACATCATTTTGGTACATTTAAAAGACAAACCAGTGAATGGGGCACACCTGTTTTTGAAAGGTGTTCTTGAAACATTTAGCCACGTGTGTCCTAACAAGGAATTAGAAAATAAGGCAATACACTAAATTGTAACAGAATTTTGGGACAAAGAAAGTGTTTGTCAGTGGCACGTGCTCCCTGAATGCCAGAACAGCTGCAATTATTCATTGACAATCATTTCTGTGTCTTCCTTTAAGAAACCGCAATGAAATAGAATTCTGGGAAATAATACATTAAATGGGACGAGTTGGCTCTAGGTGTGGTCCAGTGGTGGATGCTGACAGAGGCTGTAGTGGACTTTTCAATTTTGTAATCTCACAGAGTACTGAGGAAGTTTGATGACTTATGACATTAAGTTGCTATGACGGGGCTAAGGTAATTTTTACTTTGCAACTGTATATTTGTATCTGTAATAAATGAACATCAAAATAAGCGAGTTATGAAGAAATGACAAAGAAAGCATTTGGAAAATTTGCTTACTCAAGGCGGAGTATACCATTTCTCATCTGTAGTGAGTGAGGTAGTGTGTTGTACTTGTTATTTTAATACATTAAACAGTCCCACAAACTAAGGAACAGTTCAAACTCTAACTACCTGATGAAGTTGGAAACACTACTGATGAAGGTCTGTCTGCTGGCGGGATTTGAAGCCATGATAGAATAGTTGGTTGACCCCTCGTTCCAGCCGCCTATAGCCAGTGACACTTTGAGATGTGGGTAACGGTTCTTCAGGGCAGTCATCTTCTTGTAGTTACCTGTGTAACACGCACATTTAATCTAAATTTTAAACTCGGTTCAGGACAAGCGACTGACTTCAATACAGTAAAGGATGGAGGCATGCGGTCAGGTTCAAATCCTGACTGCTTTTCCCATGATGAAAAAGCCCGAAGGGGACTGGTGGGTCCCACTGCTGGCCGGGATATGGTACCAAAGTGAATCAAACACAAGTCAGGGAAACAGTTAAAAAAATTGGTTAAGATAGTTTTAATTTTGAAGATGTCTGCTTGGCCCCCGCAACTGCTGCCATTATCTGCACAACTTAAAAACCATCATTCAAGACCCACCTTTGCCATAGTTGTCCTCAAGGTCATGGTACTCATCTAGGCTCCGGATTGTGTTGGTCCTGTTGTCGAGCCCAGCGAAGGCATACACGAGGTGTGTGCAGAGTGTTGGATCGAGGTTATCTAGCGACCATGAACCTCGGCCAACTCGGTAGACGGACCAAGTGCTCACATAACAGACCACTAGTCGGCCGTGCACGGTGGCACCCCCGACTCCTGCAACAAGCAGTCACTGGGAAGTCATGTCTGCAAGCTTGTTTTCTGAAGCTACTAAATGGATTTTAAGGCAATCTGGTACTTGATAACAAACTAAAATTTTTCATTGCAAATTTACACACAACTTAAGAGTACCAGCGTTAATAAATGATATTGGTTTTCCACTCCATCTACATAACAACTTTAAAACGTTAATATTTCTTTTCATATTGTCATGTAACTTTGGGCCCCAGCACATCCAAATCTGACCCTGTGAAGACCCAAGTCAATTGGTACATGTTGTAAAGGACACACAATACACAGCATGAAAGGCCCCCCCCCCCCCCAACCAAAATGATTAAAATTCATCCCATGTTTATGTTGCGTAACAGGATGCATATACTATTAGGATTCCAAACAGAGAGTGAAAATGATTTCACATGCTGAGATAGGAAGGTTATGCCTTGGCCTGAGAGGACTACTGACGCACTGTCGACCTAAGAGGAGTGCTTTCTGTGGAAGCAGTCTGAAGTTTACAAAGACACACTTAAACTGCTTGGACCAAAATCAAATATGTCTGAAGAAAGTTCTATTTCCAAAATTGTACATAATATAGGTAAAATATTTCCATCTGTTCATCTGATGTATACTTTCCGATATGGTGAATACGTCTACACGCAAAATGACGATTACAGCCTACCCTACCTGGCAATGTGATTAAGAAAACATTTTATTCTCAGTCTTCAACATTGGTAATCTAAGTAATATTTAAACATTCAGTCGGGAGACCAACACTGACACAATATAAATATAACTGCTTCTGTTTGTTGTTAAACTTCTACCACTTTCCTAATTTTGCGTATTGAATTCAGTACAGCAAGGATTTCATTTGACTGGTAGACAGCTGATATATATGGCCGCTAAAAACCCAAGGCAGTTCATAAATTTGTTTTCTTCACAATTCCCCTATCGCAAGACAAGAGTTTCTCGGGAATAGCGTTTCCGGTGAAGTCAAAGGTCTAAACACATCGATTTGTGAGAGCTGCAACCGGTAAGACTTCTCCAACAGCATAGGCAACCATGACCGCATCACGTAGTAGGTAGAGATGGAAATAACTCGGGATTTCGCGAAAATGAAACAACCCGGTAATCCCGTACGGTAGCTCGGCAAAGTCATGTTTCCTCACTTCCTGGTTCATCGGTCTGTGTTTTGACGCTTGATCGTCGAGGTTGATGTTCCAAGCTCTGTACAAAAAAATGGTCTCTTGTCTCTTGTGTTTAAGCCGTTCACTGTTCATTAAAATAAACAAGAGTGGAAACAGATCGCGTATTTCATAGATGTTTTCCTTCTAATCCCGCACGCTGTATTGACCACTGACCTTAATACCAGTTTATTAAAGATAAAATTGTAATCGCACTGTAGATATCACATTGCAAGATAAACCATTCTAGGAGGGGCACAAATTCTTATACGAGCTTCATACAATAATGGACTATAGCTAGGTTCAAACCAACAGTAAGAAAAATTATTTAATGATTTAATTCCGTGAAATTGCGTTCTGCTGTTAGAGAGCTAAAAAACGAGGGCGAACGGACAGACACCATGCCTACATTACGCGTTCACTTTATGTTCTTCGTGCAAAGAACGCATTAAGGGGTATGAATGAATGATATAACACACGAATTCAAACATATCCAGTGGCCAAAAACGTTTAAATATAATAACAACTTTGTCTCTCACATTAAGGGTGTTTGGAAGAAGAATATTTGGACTTCAGAGTTATAAAGTGACAGAAGGATGGAGTAAATTGCATAACTATGCTCGTTGCCAAATATTAGGATGATCAAATGAAGGAGAATGAGATGGGAGGTGTATGTAGCACGCATGGGAGATGAGAAATACGTACAGGGTTCTGGTTGGAAAACGTGATGGGAGGAAACGATTTGAAAGATACAGGTATGGACGGAAGGATAATATTGAAATTCATCTTTAGGAGGCAACAGTATTTCTTACGAGGCGGGGAATTCCTTGAAATGTTTAGTGGCAACAATTTTCTCAAGTGCAACTCTGCGCCATGGAGTTTCAGATTACAAGGCGTAGATCGGGAGCATTATTACGAATAAATTTGAAAAGAGGCCATTTTTACTAACCGAGAAGTCAGATTAGTCAACATATGGAATGAGAATTGAACTCGCAAGCTTCCGAGCTTTAACCACGACGCGACGTCTAGTTCTTGGATTGAGACAGAGAGGAACTTTGCCTCCTTTTCTCCTATGCACCTTCATGGCTTTGGTGCTTGAGCACAGGGCTTACCCTCCCACAAAGATGTCAAAGTTCGTTTTAAGAAATAAACCGGTTTCGTTTTCAAGCAAAAAGAAAACTATTGTTAACAAGGTACGAATTAAGCTACACCAGCCACCATCCGGTTAAGTTGCACAAGCCAGTGACATCAACAAACGTTAACCAACTTACCCCCTCGGAAGGCGTCCACATCCGTCGTGATGGAAATCAAAGGCAGCAACAGGAGTATAAAGAACGCTGGCGTCTTGCGAACTTCCATATTGAAACACTCACTTTCACAAACTACAGACGCAACCTTCACAAAGAAGCCCACAACAGCCGGTGAAAGAGCGGCCCTCGAACGAGCATAACCCGTCAGTACCGTTAGTTTGTGACCTGAGGTGGTTTCCGACTTCACAATAGTATTGGCATTACGTCATTCGCCAGGTAATGCCTGCTTTCAATTTCCGAGAATCTTTCATGTGCCCTTATAGGATCTGGTCTGTTACGCCCTTTTCTATGACATCCTGAATTCTTTCGTATTGCTCCAGATAAAACCAAAATGTATGATAATGTGCTGCTTGGTCAGGGTGATGAATGTGGAGGGATGGTGGAATGATGATTAGGAAGGGAAAGCTGTAGAACTTGAATAGAAATTTGCTGCATTACCATTTCATCCATTATGAAACTTCTTGAAGTCTCATGGGATTGAACTGTTGTCCCTGCTGTGAGAAAGTGATCTCAGAGGCGTGTACTGTCTCTAGCATCAGAGCTGTGAGCAAGCGGAAAAGCAGTATCAGTTTTAATTTGTAAGTTTAATGTGAAACATGTAAAGGGAAATAAATAATACAAGTCCATCAAAGAACTTCATATCATCACAAGCTTGTCGACTTTCAGCTAGTTACTGTCGTAATGGGAAATATTTTTTTCTATTTATTCTTGAAATCAAAGGATAAGACCACTGAAGTAGCATTCTGTCCATAGTTCTGACATGGAATTCCAAATCAGACAGTGCTCTATTTTGAAATAAATCATTGTTATTCCTGAGACATTAAAATAAAAATATTTGTGAGGTCAAACTTTCATGGTCGTCTTCTGAATCACAGCAATTTTAGAACATTTCAGATCATTTCTTATGTCTGTGAGCCAGAAACATGACACCTTTAAGTATGTATAAGCACTGACTTATCTGATGAAACCGAACAAAACTGGTTCCATGGCTGGGGTTTGACCTGTACTGTTAACCTCGTTATCATACGTTTCCAGCGAAATCCAGTTCAATTTACTTTTTAATCATTGTCACATTTGGAATCACATGATTTCTTTAAAAGATGCAAGATAAAGATTATTTATTTGCTTGAGGTATTCATCATGGAGAGAATTCAGATGGTAGTATTCTGTTTTGTACCAAAATACAATCTTGCAGGTGATTACCAGCATTTAAAAAAAACATGTTGTCTCTATGTTCAGGATAGATTTTCATCTGAAATGTTGGTTACCATCCATAAAACTACATGGTGTAATAAATTGGAAGGCCACAAAATGGTATATTTATTTATGTTTGCCATTTCACATTCTGAAATTTTCATCGCTCTCCAACACTTGTCCTGTGCAATGATGTTATAGCTCATATCAAAAATTACTGCGTCATTTAGGAATACCATATCAAAGAATGCTTTTGGAAGTGTTGCAAGCTGTTATAATCAGCAGTGTACTGAAATATTTTATTAAAAACAGTTTATAAATTCTGCATATTGTTAAATTTTTTATTTAAACACATTATGAAGTATATTAATTGAAGTGAAAAAGTAGGAAGATGGTGGAAGGGCAAGGATAGGGCAATCATACAGTTTTAGATTGTGACAATGAGAGGTCATCAGTGGTATCTCAGGATTATGTAAATTGTTGACCTTGGTGTTTATGTTCATTCACAAAACAAGTGCATAATGGGGATTTATATGTCTGTCTGTCCACCTGCTTACATATTTTATTCATTAAATTCGGTATGAGGGTGTCGAGTGAATGTTTGAGAAATTTAATTTTGATTTGTATCTGTAATTACTTAATGGTTAATGAGGTGTACAAGTCAGTAGGACAGACATCATAACAATATCTAATTTTGAAAATATGTATATTGTTATTTTATACCATTCATACAGAGATTGAAAATAGTGAACACAGTATTCTGCTCGAAACAGCCATCTGCAACTTCCCATACCAGTCTGTGCAGAATTTTTTTGAACGTAAAATTTAGGATTTTCAAATTAAATAAAAGCCAAGTATTTTTTCTAATAACTTTGAACTATTTGATTTCTGTCCAGAATCTGGTCATCTGTCCACCACTTTTTCTTTCTCTCCGCCTCTCAACATCCTCTTGATATCTCAACGGAAGACACAAATATAGTTCAGGAAATTTGGCGGCTGTGCCGCAGGGAATAAGAACCTGGGCAGTCAGAAGCAGCAGTCACGCATTAACGGAAGACAGGTCGTGCCGTATAGCCAAATATCCTCAATGTACCTCTATCCAGTTTTAACGAAATTCTTCAAGAGACGCGAGTTGATGCTAAATATGGATCAAGGGTCAGTAGGAACATGAATTTAGAATGTTCGGGTTTTCATATATCAGTTAGTTTTTGTCACTGATTATTTGACTCTCAGAAGGGGAAAGTTTCGAAATTGTCTGGCAAGCCAGAAGTGTGGCCTTGAAAACGTGATTTTCAGCTTATTGGTTTTTATTGACTGTACTGGTTGGCCTCAAGGCAATCTAAGGTCAGCATCCATTATGTTTATTTATATATCTTTATTTGTGCTTTCATTCCAGACTGTTAACCCTGCTCATTTCCCTCATCAAGTGTGTAGATTACCAGACGACTAGCAATTGCCGTTCGCAATGTTGTCTGTACTCGTGCCATTTGTGTCATCAAATGTTCGACAGGTGAGTGATTTGTATTTGTTTTTAATGGCCAATAACGCCGGTAAGAAGTTGTAGGAAATCTCATTTCCAAATTATGAAATGAAATTTAATTTGTGCAGTAATTTGAGGTTACATTTAGGTTATGTTACACGTGTTTTCAAAGTTTTAGATGTTACACCTTATGGAGTAATGTTCAGGAAGAAATAACATTAGTTTTATATTTTGCTTGTTGCTTAAATGTTTTGATGAAAATATACATCAGAAACAAAATGGAAATTATAATAAAAGAAAAAATATATAATTTATATAAACTATGTTAACAAACACAGTAATGTGATTTGCGAATGGTTTTTTTTTTGTGTTTTCATTTGAATGTTTCCTCAGCGATACATGTGAAGATTTTTTCCCGTAGGGTTGCAGAAGGGCTGCCATTTTGCACTGCCTGATGTCAAGGTGGACAGGACAGGAGACCCTCGAGCAGGATGATCCAGAAATGTGGGCTCTTATCCACGAGGAAAAGATGAGACAGAAGTCAGGATTGGAGCTCATTGCATCGGAGGTGAATAAATCCATACCCCTTTATTATGTGATGCATATGTAAAAGGAGCCTTTATCTTACCCATGGTTTGTCTTTACATTATAGTGACCTTTTATACTTGCATGATGTTTCGATCTAAATTATTTTCAGGGATCTAGAAAAACAATTGTCTGCTTGCGATTTCAAGAGTTAATGGAGATCAGTGTCAAATATACGATCAATAATAACTGCTAGTCTGTCGGCAAGTTTATTTTCATCAGTGGTTAGTAGATTTAAGTTGTATTTCTGGAGCCCTGGTTATCAACATCTGTAGTTTTACTAGCATTGTTAAACACATACAAGAGTTGGTAAAGAAATAGTGGCGACACTGCTTAGCTTGTACAGAATGATTTGCTAGTTGTGAAACAGGTGACAGGTTTATGCATCAGTAAATGCTCCTGTGTACCACTGCAACATATACGAGCCAGGAAAAGGATGTTGTCATAACATTCTACTTTAAAATTATGTTTGTGAAGTTGCAGCATTGCTCCTTCACAATGTAGAAGCATAAGGCTGTAGCTTCAACAGTTTCTTTGCTGCGTGAGATGAGGTTTCTGTTTTTGTACCCTGAAGCAGGCATATTTTGTGAAACATTATCTTTATTTCTATATATTTCTTTTATATCGCATTGAAAAAGCTGGTTGTTTTTGGTGAAATTTTCAGTCACACTTTCTTCAACACAAATATTCTATAAGTATAAAATTCGGTACTTGTGGGTTATCGGGACACATTGCTTTAAAAATAGGTTAGGTTAGGTTAGTTGTCATTTATTGAAATAAAATATAATAACTTTCAAGTATATGTCATTTATCCACACACACATTAACCTAACCTAACCTATTTTTAAAGCAATGTGTCCCGATAACCCACAAGTACCGAATTTTATATTTAAGGACCCTCAGTTCAACATTTACCTTTTACATCTGTTCTGGATATAAACCCTTATCTTTGTTATTGAGTCTTTTATCTAGTCAACTACTCCTAACAGAGCAGAATACAGGAAACTTCTGGCAGATTCTTTAGGGCTGTCATCGTCTCATGTTTAAGTAAACTGTCCACCAGTACCTGCAAACAAGAAAGGTGTCCAGTAAATTCAGATTGGGGACATGGTATCCTTACATAGTTAAAATAAATCCAGAAGATGGCAGCACCCTGACTTACCTTGTATGCTCCTTACCGATGTTTATTTTTCCAGAATTTTGCAAGTCGAGCCGTGCTGGATGCTCTGGGTTCATGTCTCAACAACAAATATTCTGAAGGCTATCCTGGACAGAGGTATGCCCCTCTCTGCTTGCTTCCTGATTTCTGTAATTTAAATGTAACAAGGATGTGGAGTACTGGCAGAATTTTCTCTTTGTATTGCTATAATAAGGAAACACGTGGGAAGCTAATTCTGTGTTTGTTTCCTCGAGTGATTGCTTATTCTTTAAACATCAACCGTATTTGTCACGTATCAATAGCAACAGCTGTTGCCAACTGTTTATTGTATACCTGTACTTCTTTTAGGTTAGGTTCTTCTCTGGAGAAGTATTTGATATGGTGTTATAACCTGGAAGTGTTTCTGCAGATACTTGCTTTGATATGTCATCGTTCTTCTCTGGAGAAGTATTTGATATGATGTTAAAACCTGGAACCTGCAGATACTTGCTTTGATATGTCATTTTCCTTTTCCTGTTCTCCAGCGTGAATACAATATTTCTAAAATACTTACGAACCCCTCAAAACCCAGTAGTAAGTTTATGTACCATGTGATTTACCAATCAGTAAATCTGCGCTGTGCATGGTGTGTATTTATGGATTCTTTATAATTCTCATAATAATCCATTATTATTTCCATAACCACTTGATCTTTGCAATGGAGATGAATTGTGTTTCCTTTGAGATAAGAGTTTACTTTTTAAATAATATTTAGATGGAGACTGTCAGTCATGATAGCCATCCCGTTGTCAAGATGTGAATTTGGTACATATATTATTGACTTGAAAGGCTAAATCAAATTTTTAAAAATATATCACACAATATTCCCTCTTCCACCCATGGACTGCAGAATGGTGTTTCTGCTGTTCCCAGATATTATGGTGGCACGGAGGTGATCGATAAGATTGAGTTGCTGTGTCAGAAGAGGGCGCTTGAGGCATTCAATCTCACCTCATCTGAGTGGGGTGTCAATGTTCAACCATATTCTGGTTCTCCAGCCAACTTTGCAGCGTATTCTGCCATTTTGAAACCGCACGATCGCATTATGGGGCTCGACTTGCCGCACGGAGGACAGTGAGTCAGTTTTTAAGTATATATAACGCGCTTATTGCTGGTAAGAACAGTGTTTATGAAATTAGTATCGTGCTGACATGACAGAATTAAATTGTAATGTAAATGAGAAGTCAAAAATTATGCCTCATAACCACTGACAATCAAAAATTTGCCAAAACAGTTTGTGAGGACATGAACTTGTTTAATCTGGCTCAAGATATGGTTCATATGGCAAGTATAGTATATTTAGCCTCCATAATTAGATATTTCTGGAGTGACTACTTTTAGGACAGCCTGTACTCTTTTCTTTCTTTTTAGTGATGCAGGATTTTAGTTTTTCGCTGTCGTGTAGTTGTGGATTGTGGTTTTCTGTTTTGTGATGCTGCGTAATCTTGTAAGTAGTTACCGACAGTTTGGAGGAATATATTGTCTCCATTTTCACTGTAGATTGGAGTCAAGTTCAGGATGCGAGTCATTTATATGGGGTCGGAGCAGCCAATGGGAATGAGGACAAAATATATTACTGTAAAAGAAAGGCCCTGGAGGAGGGTAGCTTCCATGGAACTTTCTAAAGGATGAAACTTCCATGGAAGCTTTGGTGACAGTGTTTCATGGCATTGACTGTCTGCCCTCTCATTTTCATAAATATGTGGTTTATGTCGACAATTTTATATTGTTTTGTGTTAATAGCCTTACCCATGGCTTCATGACCGATACAAAGCGGGTGTCTGCCACATCAATCTTCTTTGAATCAATGCCGTATCGTCTTGATGTCAACACTGGACTCATTGACTATGACATGCTTTACAAGACCGCAGTGCTGTTTCGCCCACAGCTTATAATTGCTGGGACGTCAGCATACTCCAGACTCTTGGACTACAAGCGCTTCAGAGAGGTATAAGATACAGGATTATATCCTGGTAACTGTCTGTAACTCATGGAAACTTGATTATCTTCTTCATTGAATCTTTTGAAGCATTATTTTCAGAACTTTGCACGTGTTTGACAAGGCAGCGAAATTTGATTTTTCTTTGGCCATGTGCTTGTAATTTAATCCAAAGAAGAGTTTACATAAAAATAAGGACTGGCATTCTCATTGCTATCAGTTTAAAAATTGTTTATTGATCGATATTTATATATTACCTTTCTTGTGAGACGCTTTGATACGATATCCCATCTTAGTGTATGTAATATTATTTTTTTCCCTTGAACACACTTTTATTTTCTTGTCAGATTTCTAACATCTCATATATTTAAAAACTTATTATAGATGTTCTTGTCAAATTCATGAATGTTTTTAGCTGTCTCGTTCATATTTATGATATTGATGCTGCTTAGTTTCGATGGAATTAGAAGTTCAGTTGTGTCCACTCTCACAAAGTTACCTGTAAAATTACTGAACCTTATTCTGAACCTTATTTCATATTTCCAGTTTTATAATAACCTCTGTGACCCTGTTGAGTAGCTGGTGGTGGTAGTCACTGCCGTCAAAGGATGCTAGGTAAGTACTTTTGCCGCTGGAACAAGACACAGAAACTTTATATTTCAGATCTGTGATGAAGTGAAGGCTGTGTTGTTGGCAGACATGGCACACATCTCAGGTCTCGTGGCTGCGCAGGTCATCCCATCTCCATTCGAGTATGCAGACATTGTCACCACTACGACACACAAGACCCTGCGTGGAGGGAGGTATTTAATAGCTTACGTTCAGTAAGATTTAATGTGTATTCCTTCTGCTGACGCTTGTAGGAGCTTCGTCATATATTGAGGGTTTCCATGACAGTCTTCTCAAATTTTCTTTATTGTCCCATATACACTTTTCTCATTTCTTT